TAAGACGTTTTATTTCAGAAATAACCAAAGAATAAACAAATACCTTTTAGAGTAAACTTGTAATTTTAAATGTCACCTATGTAGTTTCACTTTTGACTGGTATTGGACGAATATAAATAATTTTTAATTGGGTATCGTACATGTATCTCAATAAATTAACTAACAAAGCGTTTTGTAAGTGTAACTGCAAACATCTTAAACTACATAACATTTATCATAAAACGGGTTAATAACCAACTTAATAAGATGAAATAAACACTTGACATCATTTTTTTTCGAAAAGCAAAATAATAAATATGTAAGTTGTAACAATGCAAATTTCTTAAAAACTAAAAAGGGAATTAAAAAATGGTGTTATCAGTTGTTAACATAATATGGCGGGAACATTAATTTTAGGATTTCATACAATAAGAAATCAGCTGTACGATGAAACAGTTCCTTATCAATCTTAGTCTTTGAGATTACCTGTATTGCTTATATTATGCATAATACTATAATGGCATAATAATACTATAATGCTTTAATACTTTTGCTTCTGCATTCAGTAGTCACCCATTCTCCACTATTACAAAAACACTAAGTCATTATATGTCAGTATTTTATTTTTATGAAAAGCAAATAATTATTATTTTATAAAATTGGCATATATTAGACAAAGTCTGACAAACTTTATATTTATATTATATTTGTGTACACTAGATATGTTAGGTAGGTAGGTCAGTATAATATTTTTGTTGACTTCAGATGTAACAATGTAGGTTTAAAACCTAATGTTTTAGCTATTTGGAGTCCATAAGGTACCGGAGTGTATAATGCTTCTTATTTTTTTATAAGTACATATTATATAAGTATAGGTATATAGTGTTAAAGTAAAATTTAAATATTACAATCGCACTGAACTCGTTGTGTCCTCCGGTACTGGAGTCCACAAATTACTTTGAATTTTACACATAGTCTTCTATGCTGCTGCCTGCTCTATAAGTTTTTTTGTAATAATCTAAAGAGTGACACTGAAAACTCCGTCACCGGAAGTCACAAATGATGTGTTTTTGTCACAAGGAAAATTATGTGTTCAAATACTTAACACGTTGACTGTGTAGGTATGTCTTTTTGCAGTTTTCACCCAGTGCGTAGGTATAATAAAAGTAAAACAAGTCTTCTAAAAAAAATAATAAGTGTTTTTAACGATTAGTATGTATACATAATTCAAACATGAGTTAAATCCACGCTAAATAAATATAATATAACATTCAACCATACGTTGGGAATAATTAACAATTTATTTTAAATGTGTATTTGACTCCAAATGGCGTCATTCCTCGTTGCTGATTGATCATCATGACGTCAATATTGGCGTCAACGTGTTAATGAGTGAAAGCGAAATTTAAAATATTACTATTGCTCTGTAATCGTTGTGACCTCCGGTACTGGAGTCCACAATGTTGGAGTTCATAAGGTACCAGAGGCTACAATGCTGCTTAAATTTCTACAATTTTATACTTAAAATATTAATATTTTAATTCAGAATCATATAAAACAATTTTTTTTTAATGTTTTGGTATTAAAAACTTAGTTCTAGGGTTATTCTTAAGGGCGGAAGTCACTATTACTCTTACATGTGCATGGAGTTTACTAGATACCATACGCGGGTATGTGTGTGTGTGTGTGTGTGTGTGTGTGTAACGATATGTATAGCCACTATAACCTATTGTTATCGGATGAAATATAAAGTAAATATTTTGCTTATAAGATCAGAGTTATCGCATAACTATTTTATTATAAGGATCATCATTCTATATTTCTATGAAAATGAGTATTAATTATTTCATAAGCCATGGTACTATATTATAATAAAATTATAGTAGTAATGTAATTTTAATAAAGTATTAAGAATATTATGTTGTCGAGTCTGTTCATAGTCAAATTACACGTTCCAGAGTCGTTGTTTAAATCAATATTTACTCATGAGAAATATTTTACTTGGAAAACATGTCAGGCACACTGCATATAATTTGACTTGGTTTTACATAAGTACACACCGATGCTTAGATTCATTTATTCCGACTGAATAATTTTTAAATCGGATTTATTTTATATTTTTTTTATAATATTACATGATCCATTTGACGGTTTGTCGCCGTCCGACTGAACACGAGAAAAAAAGAATACCGCTGTTATTTATTGTCATAATAGCAGGGTTGGTATACGTTTTCTTGTTAAAAACTAATCGGCCATAATTTTAATAACTGACTACCCATAGTCCTAGTACACTTTTTCCCTCTATTTTATTGCATAAATTTACATTTTTAATTAAATGACCCACAAACGAAGAGAACAAGGTAAATACAATTAAATATATATGCCTATATAATCTATATGTGTGTTTTTTAGAACAGTATAAAAACGGTCGCACAATTGCACCCGTGGCTCTTTGCGGTGGCGTATATATTATAATAATATTATACTTTGTACTCGAGATCAAACAAACTGCATCGGATCCATCTTTGACGTATTTTATACTTCGCCGTTGTTATTTTTTTTTCAAAACACAATATTATTATATTATTTTTGTCCATGATGATTCACTGATTGATAAGGCATACTCGCCCCCTTTTATCTTGAATAGTGCAGTTATTCAAAAATCTTAGTTTTTAATTTTTTTAATAAACCATATTTTAACATTTTCTAGAAGGTAGTACCACACTTAGGGGTGTCCCGTAGCAATACCAAATTTGATTATTTTTAATAAGATTGTGTAAAAAACTGTGTCGATGTAAAAATATTTGAAATAATTGTATATAATTATACAGTTTCTACAGTGAGATGAAACGTTAAATTAAATATATCGGGTAAACGTCCTATCAAATAGGTATTTATTATAATAATATGATATTATTCCAAAAGTACCTATATAATACTCGTAATATGTAAGATCTATAATTCATATATATAAAAGGTTGGCAAGTAGGTAATGGATGTAGTACTGTAATGGATGGTGTTCAATTTGAATTCAACGATATAATATTATCGTTGTATAAGAAAAACGATTCTAAGCGAAAACGGCCGGTCAGCCTATGATATCACCAAGTATATTTGATGATATTATTGTGAATAAAGTAATTTATATATTATAACCTATTTACGTGGAAACTCTAGGTGTATAGAAAATGCAAATATGAACAATCAGTGAAAATTTTATGTATATACATTCTTTTGTTCTAGAGTTACACCAAAAACCAAAATCGATTTTTTGGAAAACCGATTTTGCGTAAAAATTCCCGTTTTTCCTTAATTTTTATGTTGTTTTTCCCGGCGCTCGTGAAAACCATTGGGAATTTCAAAACTTGACCTCCTAAATGCACCAAATAGATTCACTTTTCCATCTAACAAGATAATGTTGAAGAAAATCGAAGCATTTTTACTGCCCCCAAACCATGATGACAGACACAAAAAAAAATCAATACGTTGATCGTTCCACTCTGAATCTAAAATTACAAATTAAAAATCTCCGTAAACTGCTCCTAAACAGTAAAAATATTTTGAAAATGTTATGATAAAATAAACTTAAAATAAAAATAAATTTCAAGTGTCTGCGGTTATTCCTTTTTGAATAAATTATAAGAAAATAAGAAAATTGCTACTTAAAACAAAAAAAGTGGCAATTTTTACACAAATTTAATTTTGGGAAAAATCGATTTGGTGTAACTCAAAAACTACCAACCGCTTTCACCATATATTTTTATTAGCATTTTCCATGAACGGTAACATTTTTGAAATATTTTGACTCTTTGTGAGCTAGTCATTGTCTTGAGAAATTTTTCAAATTTTGTAAATCGTTTTAAGTAAATAAAAATGACACTTGCCTTGTTTATTTTTTAATAACTAAAACTATATAGGTAGTATTTAATAAAAGTGTATTTACTTATTTTCATCTTCTGAAAAATATAACCTAATATGCAGTAAATTCATTAAAACCCATAAAAATTTATCAAGACATTTTTTTTCGTAGGTTCATTAGTTTCCTCATTATAAATACAATAATCATATACTTAGTGTTATATTATTATTTTTACTCTATGGAACTGTTTTATTGTTTCCTGAAAACTAAGCGAATTTTGGAGTTACTGCTTTGTGGCTTATGGCGTCATCTCACTGCCGAGGCTCCCAAAAGTATATTGTAACAAAAAAATAAATACATAGCAATACTATGGCAGGTATAGGTACTTTGAATTTTTTGACTCCACATCGGTCCTAATTTTAAACACTTTGCGGATAGCGACAACGCGTCTTGCGATTTTCGAAGGACGGGTGAAGCTTACCACGGTATATAGATATAAGTATATAACAAATCAATTACAATTCAATGATAGTTATCGAGGTATATTACAATAGGAAGGTACACAAAATACGGTTAGTACAACATTTTAAGTTTTACACGTACAAAACAATTATATGATTATAGTATATAACGGTATAGATAGTATAAAAAATCAATTATTATAATGCAATATGGTAGTATCGTGGTATACAACAATAGGTGGACAGACATGGTTAATACAATAGTTCAAAATTTAACATTTAAACAAACACATTACACATACAAAGCAATACATTATAAACGTATAAAGATAATATAATAAAATATTGCAAATAAATTATTACAATGCAAAGGTAGTATCGTGGTATACAAGAATAGGTACAGAAGACATGGTTAATACAATAATACATAATTTAACGTTTAAACAAATGCGTACAAAACAATTACATAATAATATTATGAAGGTGTAAAGATAATACAAGAAATCAATAGTGATGCAAAATGCAATGGCACGCGGTGGCACTTTATGTACTTACGAAAAGTTCTAGTGCAGCAAACGGCGTGCATTGACGAGCGAACGTCCGCAGTGACTATCTCAAAAAAGAAAAAAAAAAAGGAAGTGGGCCGAACATTGACGACAGGCGGACCGGAACGACGGTGCACCATGGTAACTCGGCTAACGTCATTCGATGTCGACAAAGCTTTCGCAGAAACATATTCTGCGAGCCGCGTTCACCAGACATCTTACGACGAATTGTCTGGACCTCTTCCACGCAGATTTTCGCCGTGGCTGTGCAGGTGTCTGCGGGAGTTCATCCGGCGAGACTTCGAGACTTCCAACGAGAGGTTCGATTGTCTTCGATTCTCCGTACAGTGGCGATTCCACTGTCATCTCCGGGCACGACCGGAAGGGTCCCCGGCGCAAACTCGGCAGTCCGGCAGCCACGGATATCCTTCGACCGTCAACGGCCAGGTCCAACGCGTCGATAGTGCATAGGGCACAACTACTTTGTTCTCCGGTGGATGATGCAATCGCCGAAACGGCCATCTTGTTGCAGTGCACGGGTGAATCCAAATCAATCTCGGGAGATGACCTGAACAATTTTTCGAACCCATCATGACGTGATGCGGGTAATGGCGCCGTGATTCTCCGATCGACGGCTAAATCTAGCACGTTGATGACGGATCGAAGTTCGGTCCTGGACCTATTCCACGTGGATATTCGTCGCGGCTGAGCAGGTGTCTGCGGGAGTTCATCCGGCGAGACTTCGAGACTTCCAACGAGAGGTTCGATTGTCTTCGATTCGCCGTACAGTGGCGATTCCACTGTCATCTCCGGGCACGACCGGAAGGGTCCCCGGCGCAAACTCGGCAGTCCGGCAGCCACGGATATCCTTCGACCGTCAACGGCCAGGTCCAACGCGTCGATAGTGCATAGGGCACAACTATTTTGTTCTCCGGTGGATGATGCAATCGCCGAAACGGCCATCTTGTTGCAGTGCACGGGTGAATCCAAATCAATCTCGGGAGATGACCTGAACCGTTTTCCGAGTCCATCATGAAGTGTAGCGGGTAATGGCGCCTGTATCCTCCGATCGACTGCTAAATCTAGCACGTCGATGACAGATCGAAGTCCGGTAAAGTATTCGTCCGACCGGCGGCTTGTAACTTCCATCGCGTTATTTACGGCCATTTCCAACGACTCTTGACTAATATTGTACTAATATTGACAGTATTGAAAATATCCAAACGGGTTTTCAATAAACGTTATTCAGAGACTTGTCTCGTGGAACAGCGCTAAACAGTTTATGACGGTTTTCAACAAATTATTGGTCACCCACAAACAACAATCTATAGTATTGTTATTTTTCTGGTTTACATTGTGGCCAGTATACTAGTTGGCTTTCAGTCAGCTTGTAAATAGCAAATAGTCACAATTAAATCATAATTTAACAATCATTTTTATAAACATAAACCTACGAACAAGATAATGTCCTTAAGATTCTACTGGTTTCGACGCAATCGGAATCATATCACACAATGTGACATGATTGAGACGAATGAAGTTTAGATTTCAAATCTATAACAATTTTGTACACAGTTATAACGATTATTAGTTCTAGATTTAGGATCATATTTACGAGATAGTCTTACAGAATATAATATTGTTAATTTTAAATACGCGCCTATAAAATCATGTTGTCTTGGAGTGGTCTTGTTTGGTGTATAAAAATATATTGCCTAGTTCATTGTGACTTATTAATTTAAAAACTTCAGAAAAATCAATAAAAAATTTAAAAAAAAAATAAAGCATAAATTGTAAAATCAATACATTCGTCGCTCCGCTCAGAATCTAAAATGGATGTTTGTTTGTTAGCTCGGGAGTCAAAAACTACTGGACCTTTTTCAATAAAAGTTATGTTTATAGATTCCTTGAGACCAGGTGTGTGTTCATAGCGTATTTTTCAACCCCTACAGGTAGCTGAAGAACGAAGGATAAATCATATTATATGAATTTTATTTTGTCCATTTAATTTATAGGGTGCATTGGTTACATATTATATTCCTATTATGATTAGTAGAAATATTACATAAACATTTTTTTGCCATTGATTATAGAAATATGTATAAAAAAAAATATTATTATCATATATGTGTTATGTTATAACTTTTTGACTACAGTAAATTAATCATTATTAAAAATAAATTGAAATAATTGTGTGACAGAGATGGATATTATATTTTAACACTACCTGACCATAGTAACAACATTTTTATAGTTTTTGTGCCGGAAATATTTTTAATTCAAATTTAAAAAAAAAAAAGAACACGCCAGTGTATGAAAAACGGGTGGATTACAGGTATAACATAGATATATTATAATGTAGAAAACAGATATATTAATTTTAAACTAGAGTGAAAATTCTCCTTACGGACACCACTAAATAGCAGGCACCTCCAAATAGCGGACTACATTTCAGTAACTGAGAGTTTCCGGTATTTGAGGTTTCACTGTATAAAAAAATCTTATAGAATTTAATATTTTTACCTGTATTTCATAGGGGAATAAAATACACACTACTGACTAAAAAAAAATACACTTTGCAATGGTCTTTTATAATAAACCACTGTTATGTCTCAATTTAACTGCGATTTGATTAATTATATAGTTTCAATAATACAGTAAGTCTCAGACACTCATTATTATTCCAAAAACTATCAACGTTTTGAAAATATATTTTTTACGTTTATTTGTTGAATATTATTAGTGTAGTGTAGGTATGAAGAGAAACCTTGTATGATGTTAAAATTATTATATTAATTATTAATGCCTAAAGCAGAAATGATAAATCGGATTAAAAGCGTTCTCGGAAAGTAACATATTATTATTATTCAGCTCGTGCATAGTATACAAGTGTATACAACGAAATATATTATAATTTATTGTTGGTTAACCTCGAAATGCATTTTCAGATCTAATAAAAGTAAACATTTCAAATATTATTCTGTAATAAAATATAGAATACGTACATCGTTGAGTTTTCAAAAAACTGGTAGACAATTATTATTAGCAGCTAGTGGTAAAAATGTCATTAAAATTCTCTAGGGCACTACACAAATACAAAACACGATTGGAATGGATTTCCATAAAGATTTTTAATTTTTTTTTTTTTTTATCTTGTTTTTTACGTTGATATTTTATCTATTTGGATTTACTGGGTATAAAATTTGCCAAATTACTTGAAAAATAACTGATAATACACACGTTAAATGAGCGATGTTCGTATTACATTATATAGCGAACATATTATTATATCCAATTGAACGTGAACACGTGACAACTGACAAGTAGAAAATTGGATTTTTCGACTTTAAACTGATTATAGGGTACATTCTATTACATAATATTTACTGTAAGTCTATAAATCCCTTACCTATATAGTATTGTGTTGTTTAATCAAACAACAATATTTTATTAGGTACTTACTACCAACTTATTTTTTCATATGTATCCAATATTTTTCAGCCATTAAAAAAAAACACGCACTTCTGTTCAAAAACTAAATAGGTTCATGATATGCCCTGTATACGTGAGATATCATATTTTTATTGATAATTTTAGAAAATGTATCATTTAATATTTACTATACGTTTTGTTTTTGTGAACAATTGTATTGCTGTCGCACACTTTTTGTGCTTTATTTTTACCAACTGATTTGGAAATCAGTTTCACTTTACTTTGTTAATTTTAAAAAAGAATAAAAATACTGTGGTCCCTAATTACTGTAAATAACATTTGTGTAAAGATGTATGCGGTTAAATACTTAAAAATTTAAATTTAAAAATAATTATGAATTATTATTATTTATAGCTCGCTGGTATATAGTACACTAAAAAACCACAATTATGGAAAGTTCAAACCCGCTTTCTTTTTTTTTAACATAATATAAAAACAGAAAAAAGTTTTTATAATACATATATACAACCCCCCCCCACTTTGGAAATGAATGTGTGTAAGCCACTGGAGGTGGTCTTGTATATGATGTTTTAATCTGGCTATATATATCACCGATTTTATCAACATACAACGCTTAACCATTAACCAATCAACTTATTATATTATTATGTTTTATTGTTCATCCGAAACTATACGGTTATTGTCATACTTCTAGCATTATTATGTATAAAGGACCATGTATATAGAACCATGAAAGCTTATCTCTCGAGCAGCTAATTACACCCGAATGAGCTGATGTCCCTCCAAAGTTAGGGTAGTTGAAAATTGTGATATATATATAATGTGATCTGAGTGGCATCCGTTCGCTTTAGATTGATCAATAATCACTGGACACTTGCACTATATACGTTTACAAGTAGATTATTTTATTACTGAATAATGTATATTGAAGTATTTTTGAAAACTAATTTCTTACACAATATTGAATCATTATACATACAACAGCAAAACACAATTTAATATAATACCTACATAATGTTTTTGCAATTTTTATCTTTTAAGGTTTTTTCGTTTTTGAACGAATATAATATACATTTTAAATTAATTATTCCTAAACAGAATATTATAACTCTGAGTGGTTCAATAAATATTTGAAAATAATTATGATAAAAAATAGTAAACATATATTTTTTCTTTTCAATAATGTAAAAATATATAAAATAACCAACTTGATTAGAGTATAATTTATGATAAATGTTATAATATATTAAATTAGGTATAGGTACTATCATAAAACGTAAACAAGTGTGGTTTTTATTTCAACTATTTAAAATGATTCACCTAATCCCCTCTATATACGTCTTGTTTATAATCATTAAATTCGGAACGTATATAATCGTTTTGTATATAATTTTATAACTATAAATTCAATTGAGGACCGATGGCGAAACGTTATTTTTCATGACACAAATGGACAACGGTTTTACTAGAGTAGTGGAACAGTTTTTTTTTATCGACTAGTATATTGCGAGTGTACGGTATACATGATTTTTTATTTAAAGGTTCTGAGAAACTTGCATTACTCGTTTATTATTATTACACGAGAATATTTCGAGCAATTTTCCAAACGAAATCTGCCAATATAAACCGTAAACGAAGGAACGTCTGGCACTCACAATTATATTTTGCAAGAACAGAGACGTTGAGTTTTGATATTTATTATGACGAATTATGTGCATTAACTGAATATTGTGTGGAACACGCAACACACCAGAGTAGTTATGACCATGCCATATCGCTTGTGGTTTGTTTAATGTTCACTGCGGCAACTTCGAGCGAGTGGCGTGTAAGAAGTTTGACCAAGTTTTCTCGTTATTTAAACACAACACAACAGACAATAGGTTATATAGTAATTCAAAGGAGATTGTACTATTCTAGAAAGCTCACTACGGTACGTAGATTATTGTTCAAAGCAAGTAGGTGAAATGAGAAACAAATAAACGCCATTCTTAACTGAAATTAAATTCCAGCCACGAAATAACAATGTGCATAATTATGTTATATATACATATTATGTTGTATAAATTATGCACCACTAGAACCACTGAACCAATTTGATTGAACATAACCATTTCTTTGGGTAATTTATTTAATATTGTAATTATTGTTGCAGACATAAACGGTTGTTGTTAAAATAAAATACTAACTAATACAATCTATACAACACGTCGTTGTACTTAGTTAATTATATCTGGTGCTTATTTTATATTTGTCTATTGTATTCTATTTAAATATTATAACGTATTCATATTCAATCTTACCTTGGTAGAGATGAATTAACAAAATGCATATTTATTATGCAATTTTGTTTTATATATTGTGCACTTCTGTGGGAATTTTTTTTTTAGCATACAAATTGAATGTTCACAATTACATAGCGTAATGATCATTTAAAAGTATAAACTGCTATAGAATGATTTGTATTGAACGCATTTGTCACTCTTCTACCATTGCGGTCTCCTTATCCGCACCATCATAATTATATATTTGCAAAGTTATATAAAATATTATGTCACGTTACTTATCGTATTACATTAATGACATGATACAATTATAGCACACGAATATATTACAACAGTATTTTAATCTTGTTTCCTTGTTAACCTTGTTTAAAGTATGGTTAGTGATTTCTTTTAAATTAAGACACGGACACGTCGAGCCACTTGTTGAATTAA